AATGAGAAAAAAATGGACTCATTTTCAACAAAAATTGCGTTTTTTTTTGTATCGCACCACCTTAATGTAAATGTACTCTAAAAGTGCTATCGCTGAAATAGAAAAGGGGCGCCTATTGGAAGGAGAGCGCTAAATCGAATCTATGCGGGATACTTATAATCTTAATACTTATAGCCGAAATTATACGTCATTTCTCTCACTTTCTACTCCTCCCGGGGGGAGGGGGGTTGGGTTAGGCTTAAGAAGTTAATATTTTGGGAAGGGAACAGAGTGAGAACAGTCTTTGCGAACAGAGTATAAGGGGGTGCTACAGAAAATTTACCTCCAACAAAAGAAGATCACTATGATATTACATTTCTTCAGGGGAGGAGGAAGAGAGGGGAGGGAATCAAGTGGACTTTATTGTGACTCGACCAAAATCCTCAGACCACCCCTGGTCATAAGTAATGAAAGGTCCTTAATGGATTTGGCAATCAGCCAACCACGCTGAATCGAATGATCACGCTTCATAGCTCAACTTGTTTGTTCAGACATTTCCAACCTGAATAAACTTCTGTGTTGATAAAATTTTCGTTTGCCTCTTTAACTTGGAAAGCACTGAATACTGCAGTGACTTGAGTGATTGTTTGCTGGATAATGAGACCTGATGTTCATGTATGAGGATTTGTTCCTATACTGCAAGTAAGACTTCGACTCCACTATTGATCAATTTTAATTTAAATATTCTACACTCAACTTATTGCGCTCAACAATATAAACTGTCTGCACTGTTTAGGTTTATATCTTGGCGTTTTCTCATCCAATGAGCATACAGAAGTTTCTGCAAACATATAATTAATTAATTCAGATATTAGCCGTTAGTGAAGTTCCGTGTTGATCATCATGGCGCCGAAAGAAATTTGTTGTGTTCTTTTCATCTGTCTCTTTGGTTTGGGAAGTGCTGAATACTGCACTGAGTCGAGCGATTGTGTGGTGGAAGGTGAGACCTGTTGTTCGGATAACGTCTGTAGAGCGATTTGTTCCTACTGTACGTACAACTTTGAATGTGGCAGTGGCGAACAGTGTTGCAATAACGAATGCAAATATTCATGTGGATTGAGCGCCGAGGCTATTACAGGTGTTATTATCGGCACAACTTGTGCATTTTTCTTCGCCATCATCATCGCCATTGTATCCTGCTTCTACTGTGCTCGCTGCCCGGGCTACCGCCGCTATCGTACACCCGGTGTTTTGGTCGTCAGCCGACAGCCTTATCAACCGTTCGTCTCAACTCATACACACACGGCAATAACGCAGCAAGTGCAAGCTCCTCCGCCGGTCAACTACAATCAGCCTCCTCCAGGTTTCAACCAGGCTCCTCCGCCTTACTCAACCTATCTTCCGCCATTAAACCAGAATCCTCCACCGCCAGAACAAACTCAAGCGGGGCCGATGCCTGCTGCAGTAACCGAGCAAACGAACAGGTTCTAAGTAAAGTAATATGTGAGATAACTTCTCCAAGCGGAACACTGTGCGATGGATGCCTGCTTTTGTCAGAGCTGACTAACCGGCCAAGTACTAACCCGTTTAACGAGATAACTAGCCTCATGTTATGAAACATTTGTGGATTTTTTCCAAAACTCGGTTATGTCAAAATACAACATGCATATTGTCGAGTTTGAATAAAAATACTTCAAATAATTATAATTATGGTTTCAGTCTAAACTTTTGTTATATTGTCAAAAACCTTGTGTCCAATCTGCAAGTTTTTACGGTAAATATAATTCACCACCGTTATCTAGGCATCTCTTTTTGTTATTCTGTGTAGTCCAAACTTAATAATTCTATAATCAATAATGGCTTCGTGTCTCACCAAGGACATTTCATGTCTCCACTCCGTAAAATGTTCACGGATTGCCACTATAATACAGCTCATGCATGCAGGATTTTTCTTGCGTTTCTTGTTATCAAATAGCTTTGGAACTCGTAACATTTTTGCTCAAAAAAATTTTTGATTACATCATGATAATATATATGCAAGAATTTCACTCTTTTTTCCTGCTATTTTTAGTCGTGTTTACTTCGTGTAAAGGTTCACTGTCTCGGTCGCTGATTTCGTTTGTTGCCAGAGTCGTCAGGCTTTTTCCTCAATCTTAATCTTTTATTTGCCCCTAAACTGTCCGCCATTTTGAGTTTCTTATACTTTCGCGAATCTTTCATCGAATCGAGATATCTGCTTTCAATTCAAAATTTTTTCGCTCAATATCAACTTTCTATTTGAAATAAAATTACGTGCTCTAAGAGAATGAGCATGCTGAAGTTAAAATATGTGCATGCATATTATTAATTGGTTGAGGTATTTCCGCCAGTAGAGTTCCGCGTTGATCATGGCGTCGAAAGAAATTTCTTGCGTCCTTTTCGTCTTTCTCTTTAGTTTGGCAAGTGCTACATACTGCAGTTACTCGAGCGATTGTGGGTGGAGTAAAACCTGTTGCTCAGATAAAGTCTGTAGAGAGAGGTGTTACTATTGCACGCACAGTAGTCAATGTGGTTCGGACGAAGTATGTTGTAACAACGAATGCACTTATTCGTGTGTTTGGGGCGCTGGGTCTATTGCCGGCGCTATTATCGGTACAATTATCTTCTTCGCCATCATCATCTCCATCGTATCCTGCTTCTACTGTGCTTGTTGCCCGTACTACCGCTATCGTACACCCGGTGCTGTGGTCGTCACCCAACAGCCTTATCAACCCTTCGTCTCAACTCATACCCATGTGGCGATGACGCAGCAAGTACAGGCTCCTCCGCCGGTCAACTACAACCAGCCTCCTCCACCTTACCCAAGCTACCCTCCACCTTCAACTCAGCATCCCCCTCCTCAAGGACAAGCTCAAGCCGGAGCGATGCCTGCTGTTCTCAGCGCTGCCCAACCGGTGAAGTACTAACCCTTTGTACGAGACAACCACGTGCGCCCGCTTTTTTATGAATGCTTTGAAACAAGAAACTTTATTCCTATAAAACCTCAGTTTCGTTGAACAGCAAAACGAATATTGCTGATTAGTTTTAAGCTAAGTACTGTAACAATAAGTAGTAAAGTTTCTAGAATTTGGTCAGATTTTTCACTGAAATAGCTCTAAAAACTTTTGGCATACCGCAAATAATTTATGGTAATTATGGTTCAGCTCTGTTATCTAAGCTCCTCATTTGTGTAATGTGCAAATTTGTATTGGCTTGTTGAATTGATGGCACATTTTCCGACGCCTCCACAACCGTGAAATGACATTGGGTCACGGATGGTCATCACAGCTCGCCATCGCAGCACAACTCGTGGACATAGAATTGTCCTTGTTTCTTTCGTTTTTTTAGGCCTTGACTGCATTGAAGTCTTTCTGAAAATGAAACACGTAATTCCATTTTCATTAGATATCTTTTAACTTTTCATGTGGTGGAAAACCAAAAGTTATTCTAAAAGAGCGTAAGGTGCCATTGTTTTAAGGGTTTAATTTGTCACATAATCATATTTAGGGGCAGATGACCGTTTAGACTTTTAGCCCCCTACGAACAGTCGCTTCTAAAATACTCAAAAAATACATGAAAACCGTATATATAAACTTCGTAATGGGCCTCGCTCATCATAAAGTCTCTGCTGCTCAATAGCAGAGCGTCGGAGCGCGGAATCCGAAGATCTGAGTTTCGATTCCTTATGGGGTTCAGAAATTTATCTTTGTGCCACGCTCGTGACAAGACGAAAAACATCTTTCTCCAGGATGATTCACTAAGCTCTAAGTCGCAAGCTCACCTCACCTTAGCGATTATTTTTGAAATCTAGTGTCAATCTAATCTCTTAAATGCGGTTAAATTCATGTCATTGGAGTTTCATCAATCTATGATGTTTTTTTCATTTAAGCAGTTCATTTCAGAATATCATATGTCATATTTCTTCTGATATTTTCTTGCACATTACCAAATGTTTCTCCATTTGTCAGAATTAGAGTGACGACTTCAAAAATTTTTAATAACATGACTTAAATAGTGACACTGAGAAACTACTTTGCGTTGGTTCACAGAAAGTTTAAGTCATCAATAGCTGTGTGGTCATTGAAAGTATGCAGAAGGTGAAATACAAAGTGATTAAATAGCTTTGTAACACACTTCATTTTAAAACAATTTGTAATACTGAATATCTGATATCTTAAATAGCTGGTATACCTACAAATACTCAAGTTGACTTTCTGTACCTGGTACGAGAAAGCATTCTTAGAATATTGTAGAAAAATAAGCATCTTGTGCAAAATAAAGGATAAGGGCTCGTGGTTTTAGATTCTTCTGTCATCAAATTTTATTCTTGATGTAATTTCTTAAACCTTTTAGAGACGGGCCATTATTTTTCTGGAGAGGGGTTGTGAGAAATCTTGTTCGCAGAGTCGGAAAAGACAAAATAAATTGTTAGCAAACGTGATAGAGTTAAAAAAAATGTTTAGCAGAGAAATCAGGTTAGATATTAAAATATATTATCACCAACACTGAAATGAAAAATAAGAGTAACAAATTGAAGCATTGGTATAAAAATTGACACAATTAGGGCACTAAAAAGTGATCACTCTATTTTAATAGCTGAATATTTCTTGAAAAAATGGGAATTTATCGTGGCAATTAAAACATTAAAAAAAAAAATTGTTTGCACGATGTTGGAAAAAAAATGTTTGCGGAGACGTATATGTTAAAAAAATAAATTTTGCAGAAGAATATTTCCCATGCTCCCTTTCCAGAAAAATAATGGTCCGTCCGTTACTCCCAAGATTTCATTAGTAATTCTCCTTACTGCCTGCCAAAAGATTCTCATTGTGTTAGCTTGGAGATTTTGATATCGGATCAATTAGTAATCCCATAATTTATTGATATTTTTCTATATTCTCATCACTTGTCTGCATGATATTGCATAGATATAGTAAGGAGAAATTCTGTCTTGGTCACTTACAGGAGTTCAAGGGTGAATGCCAATACCATTCACTCCTCCAACCCCACACCTCTCCTTATTTTTGACCGTCGACCGCAAACCGTAATATGAATGTCTTTTTCTCCCAGCCTTCCGTTGCCATTAAAATCAAAGATGGCAGCCATAATTTTCGTTAAGAAAATACTGAGCACTCGCTCGCCAAAATTATGCCTGCCCTTCAGGCTTTGGAAATGAAAACTCCCGCTCTTCCCTGCCTTCTCAAAGAGAAATTTAGACCACAACAGTGAGAGCATGAGAAATCCCACCAAGCAAAAATTTGAAACATTTCAATCATCACAACCTGTTTTGAAAACATTCAGATAAATAAAGTATCCTGTGACCAAGATCTCGTTCTAAATTCTCTTAACCCAACATTTCTCAAATTAACATCGTGTACTAGTATTATAAAATATTATCCTGCATGTTTACTTTGGAGAGAGTCCCTAGAAATCTAGAGAAGGCTTTCACGCCTTTCTCCTATGATCTGCTTAGCATTGATTGCTAAATGAATTCTCTAATGGCTCACTTTCTCGGCCGCCGATTTTGCTTTGTTGCCGGAGTAGTCGGGCTTTTCCCTCAAAAAATTGTTTCGAGGCTGAAAACTCTCAGTCACGCATCATCGAAAGTTTCCACCTATCCTCTACTAGGTACCTGTCAATGCCAGTAATCATTACACGGAGGCCATCAGGGTCATAAGATCTCATAGTCTTCCCCGTCTTTCTTACGAATTCAGTGTTGCGTATAACTTCTTACGAATTTCGGTTCAGAGCTTCGAAATACAAGTTCTTTTTTGAAGCCCAAGACTTTCAGACTATTAGTGGTTGGTACATTGTTGGGCGTTTTTTTTCCTTAACATTATTCCACCAACTATAAATTAGAACGTTGGGACGGAAGGTCTCATTTGGGGTAAACGTTAGGCAAGAGAATATTAACAGTTTCTTTTGCCGTTAGTCGTATAACGGTAAAATATTAGCCGTTACGTATAAAAATTGATAGATTTCAGCCATTTGTCTCAAAAGAAGGTTAACCGAAAAAGTTTTTCTGTCAAAAAGAACATAAATAAATTTTAACCGTTCACCTTAAAAGCCACCGCCTCATTGAAACCCTTGTACTTGCCCCTTACCTGTCCGCCATTTTGAGTTTCTTGTGCTTTCGCGACTCTCTCATCAGTCAATTTTCAATCTGCATTCATTTTCAACTTTTTGCGCTCACGATCAAATTAATGCACCGTGCAAAATTTAATTGACGTGTTCTAAGCCAATGAGCATTCTTAAATTAAAATTTGTGCATGCATGTTATTAATTGGTTGAGGTATTTCCGCCTGCAAAGTTATGCGTTGATTATGGCGTCGAAAGAATTTTCTTGCGTCATTTTCGTCTGTCTCTTAAGTTTGGGAAGTGCTAAAAACTGCACTTACTCGAGCAGTTGCGGTCGGAGTGAAACCTGTTGTTCAGATAACGTCTGTAGAGACAATTGTTACTACTGCACGTACAACTATCAATGTGGTACAGGCGAAGAGTGTTGTAACAACAAATGCAAATCTTCGTGTGTTTTGGGCGCTGGATCTATTGTAGGCGCTGTTATCAGTACAATAATCTTCTTCGCCATCATCATTCCCATTGCATCCTGCTGCTGCTATACTTGTTGCCCGTGCTACCGCTATGGTACACCCGGTGCTGTGGTCGTCACCCCACAGCCTTATCAACCGTACGTATCAAATCATGCCTGTATGACGACGATGCAGCAAGTACAAATTCCTCCGCCGGTCAACTACAATCAGCCACTTCCAGGTTACATCCAGCCTCCTTCGGGACACAATCAGCCTCCTCCGCCTTACCCAGGCCACTTACCGCCTTTAACTCAGCATCCCCCCCCACAAGGAGAAACTCAATCCGGAGCGATGCCTGTTGCTGTCAGTGCTGCCCAACCGGTAAGGAACTAACCCATTGTACGAGACAATCACGTACGCCTGCTTTTTTATGAACGCTTTGAAACAAGAAACTTCATTCCTCTAAAAACCTAAGTTTTGTTGAAAAGCAACGAGTATGTTGTTGATTAGTTTTTAGCTGAGCACTTTAATAGTAAGTAGTAAAGTTTTTAGACTTTTGTCAGAGTTTCCATAACTTTTGACATACCGCAAATAATCTATGGTAAATATACTTCAGCTCTGTTATCTAAGCTTCTCATTTGTTCATTGTGCAAATTTATTTGGCTTGTTGAATTGATGGCGCATTTTCCGACGCCTCCACAACCGTGAAATGACGTTAGGTCACGGATAGTAATCACTGCTCGCCACTGCAGCACAACTCATGGACACAGGATTGTCCTTGTTTCTTTGGTTTTTTAAGGCCTTGACTGCATTGCAGTCTTTCTGAAATTGAAAGCCGTAATTCCATTTTTATTGGATATTTTTAACTTTTCGCGTGGTGGAAAACCATGAATTAATTTAAAAGAGCATGAGCAATTGTTCATGGGCTTAATTTGTCACATAATTATATTCAGAAGCAGATGGCCGTTTAGACCTTTAGCCCTTACGAACAGTCGCTTCTAAACTACTCAGACAATATATGAAAACTGTACATATGAACTTCGTAATGGACCTCGCTCACTATAAAGTCTATGAGGTTCAATAATAGAGCGTCGGAGTGCGGAATCCGAAGATCTGAGTTTTGATTTCTCATGGGGTTCAGGATTTTATCCTTTATGCAGTTCATTTCAGAATATCACGTGTCATATTAGTTTTCTCGCACATTCCCATTATGTTTCTCCATTTGTCAGAATTAGAGTGACAACTGAAAAAAGTTTTGAGAACATGACTTAAATAGTGACACTGAGAAATTACTTTGCATAGGTTGACAGAAAGTTTAAGTCATCAATAGCTGTGTGGTCATTGGAAGTATACCGATGGTGAAATACAAAGTGATTAAATAGCTTTGTAACACACTTCATTTTTTAAACAACTTGTAATACTAAATATTTGATATCTTAAATAGCTGGTATAGCTACAAATACTCAAGTTGACTTTTTTTACCTGGTGCGAGGAAGTATTGTTATAATCTTGTAGAAAAATAGGCATCCTATGCAAAATAAAGGATAAGGGCTCGTGGATTTAGATTCCTCTGTCATCATATTTTTTCCTTGATGTATTCTCTTAAACCTTTTACTCCCAAGATCTCATATTTAATTCTCACCACTGTTTGCCAAACGATTCTCATTGTGTTAGCTTGAAGAATTTGGTATCTGATCAATCGGTAATCCCATAATTGATATTTTTCTTTATTCTCATCACTTGTCTGCATGATATTGCACAGATATAGTAAGGAGAAATTCTGTCTTGGTCACTCACAGGAGGTAAAGGGTAAAGGCCAATACCATTCACTCCTTCACTCCCACACCTCTTCTCATTTTCGACCGTCGACCGCCCCCTTGGTATAAATTTCTTTTTCTCCTCAGCCCTCCGCTGCCCATAAAATCAAAGATGGCGGCCATAATTTTCGTTAAGAAAATATTGTGAACTCGCTCGCCAAATTACGCCTGCTCTGTAGGCTTGGGAAATGAAAACTACTCTCTTTCCGGTCTTCTCAAAGAGAACTTTAGACCAAAGCATTGAGAGCATGTGAAATCCCACCAAAAAAAAAAATTGGAACATTTCAATCACCATAACCTGTTTGTAAACATTCATATGATTAGAGTATCTTTTGAAAAAGATTTCGTTGTAAATTCTCCTACATCTTAACCCAACAATTCTCAAATGAACATAGTGTGCTAGTAATATAAAATATTATCCTGCATGATTACATTGGAGAGAGTCCTCAGAAATCAAGAGAAGGCTTCATTTACACCTTTCTCCCATGCTCTGCGTGGCGATCGTCCATCATCCCTAATGAACCCTTCTAACCGAAAGGGACTAGTATCTAGTTTCCCCTCACAGTAGTACAGCTGAATCATTCATGAAGATCATAAGAATAAGGGACATGAACCAACCTAAGAAGCCTTGAATGTTAAATGAATTCTCTTTGTCATCACCACAGGAAATGCATAGATAACAGTACAGGGAATGTGGATACTGATCTGAAGGTGTTAAGGGTTGATAACCAACTGATTTTTCTTCAACCATTCAAGGTAAGACCTTGTCCCTAACGGTGACTAGCATCTAATTTCTCCTTAGAATGTCACCCCTAAGCCAAACATTAATGTCATGAGAATATAGGAAATGATCACCAACTGAAGAAGCTGTTGATTGTTCATTATTCAAATTCTCTTTGTCATCAGCTTAAGAAATGTACTGGCTCTACTGAATGCAAGCGCGATAGAAGGCGTTCGCTCGTCTCTGCTGTCATTGCAAACATGGTAATGGAAGACGTGGAGCAAAGAGCCTTAGCCACTTCACCGGTTAAACCCTTTTTTCTGGAGACGAAATGTCGATGATGTTACTTCTGCAGTATCTGGAAATGAAGCGGAACGCCTCCTATCGCACTTGAATTCAATAGAGCCGTCTTTCCAATTCACCCTTGAGCGTGAAAAGGATAGACATTTGCCCTTGATTTAAATGTGCACAGAAGGGAACAGGGTAATTTAGAGACAAGTGTCTATCGTAAACCTACCCACACCGACAAATGCTCACCACCCTATTTGCCATAGAAAGTCTGTAGCCAAAATTTTACTCAGGAGGGCTGACTGTCTGCCATCTTCACTCCATTCGAAGGCTGAGGGAAGGAAATATGTTTCTAATGTCCCAAAGGCGAGTGGCAGTACTAAAAATTTTCTCCGTAAATGCGTAAAAAACAACAACAACAACGAACCGACGCTATTGACTCTATTCCGTGCAGTGAATGTGGTAACGAGTACATCGGACAGACCAAACATCAGTTTGGTACACGTTTGAAAGAGCATCAAAAAGCGGTCTTCTGATGAAGGTACTAGACAGGAGTGTCAAAACGTCTAGTCTGTGAACTGTAACTTCTCGGTTACATTCATTAAATCTGTAAACCAGAGTAGCATCAAACCATGTCTGAAATTTTAACCGTTAGTTGTAAAAGCCATCACCCCATGAGAATCCTTTTACTAGCCCCTAACCTGTCCACCACTTTGAGTTTCTTGTGCTTTCGCGACTCTCCCATCAATAAATTTTAATTTAAAATATTTGCATTCAATTTCAACTTTTTGCGCTCAATCTTAGCTTTCTACACTGAGCAGGTTTAATCGACATGTTCTAACCCAATGAGCATGCTGAAATTTAAATATGTACATGCATATTATTAACTGGTTGAGGTATTTGCTGTCTGTAAAGTTTTGCATTCGTCATGGCGTCGAAAGAATCCTCTTGCGTCATTTTTGTCTGTCTCTTTAGTTTGGGAAGTGCTACGTACTGTAGTGACTCGAGCGATTGTGTGTTGAGTGAAACCTGTTGTTCAGATAACGTCTGTAGAGACAATTGTTACTACTGCACGTACAACTATCAATGTGGTACAGGCGAAGAATGTTGTAATCACGAATGCACCTATTCATGTGTTTCGCATGCTGGATCCATTGCAGGCGGTATCATTGGTACAATAATTTTCTTCGCCATAATCATTTCCATTGCATCCTGCTGCTGCTGTGCTTGTTGCCCATACTACCGCTATCGTACAGCCGGCACTGTGGTCGTCACCCCACAGCTTTATCAACCGTACGTATCAAATCATACCCATATGATAATGACACAGCAAATACAAGCTCCTCCGCCGGTCAACTACAATCAGCCACTTCCAGGTTACCTACAGCCTCCTTCGGGACACAATCAGCCTCCTCCGCCTTACCCAAGCTACCCTCCGCCTTCAACTCAGCATCCCCCTCCTCAAGGATAAGCTCAAGCCGGTGCGATGCCTCCCGCTGTCGGCGCTGCTCAGCCGGTGAAACACTGACCGATTGTACGAGACAACCAAGTACGCCTGCTTTTTTTACGAACGAAACAAGACACTTAATTCCTCTAAAAACCTCGGTTTCACTGAAGAGCAACACGCCTGTTGTTTATTAGTACTAAGTTAAGCACTTCGATAATAAGTAGTAGAGTTTTTAAACTTTTGTCAGATTTTTCAAAACTTGTGGCATACCGCAAATAATTTATGGTGAATATGGTTCAGCCCTGTTATCTAAGCTTCCTATTTGTGTATTATGCAAATTTATATTGGCGTGTTGAATTAATAACGCATTTTCCACAACCGTGAAATGACGTTGGATCACGGCTGGTAATCACTGCTCGCCACTGCAGCACAACTCGTGGACACAGGACTGTCCTCGTTTCTTTGGCTTTTTTTAGGCCTTAACTGCATTGCAGTCTTTATGAAATTCAAAGCCGTAATTCCATTTTTATTGAATATTTTCTACACTTTTCATGCGGTGGAAAACCAAGAATTAATTTAAAAGAGCATAAGATACAACAGCACATAAAATATGGATACTGTTGTGAGGGTGAAAGGATTAGTAACCAACTGATTTTCCTTCAGCCATTCATTAAAGCTAAAATGAAACTGAATTGTATTTATTTTGTACAGGTCTTAAAAATTGATGCGGTATACTCACAACACTCAACATAAGGTAGACCCTGGTGCAAAGATACAATGTATGGCCTAACTTTTCTTAGAATATAATCATTATTCATAACAGGCTTCATCAATAACTTATCTATAACAAATAATTCAACAAGGCAGCTTGTAGATTGCTGTCAGAGATGTAACGCAAGTCTGTTAAGTAGTTACATACAACACACTAATGTTTCCTAATTAGAAAAAAACAAAACAAAACAAAAAAAAAATGCAAAAAGATTTCATTAGAATTCTCTTGAATCGAGTCTACGAGCCGTCCTTCCTTTTTGGCAAATTCAGTCACGCAGGTTAAAAAAAAAAAGTGAAAACAAAAAATCAATGTATGTACACAGTGGAAATCCTCCTGAGTTCTGACTAGTGTACTAATATCAATTTTATTTTTCACTGTTTTCTCTGACTCAGACGACAGATTTTTGCCAACAAGTAAGAACTGCTCATGGTCTATCTTAAGACCAGTTTTTCACATGCTGTAAGGATGTGTTGTTGTGTCAAACAATGTTTACCAATCAGGTTGTACTTTGTGTACAATGTACCACACCTGCAGTGCACTCTTATCCAATATTTCTCTTAACATTGCTAAACTGACCACCACAAACAGCATAGCATTTGTTTACCCATATTATCACTCATTAAAAACCAAGCTCTCACTAATGTACAATACTCAAAATCTTGACAAGCCATGAAAAAATATGTCCCCTCTTCTTGAGTCATCATTTAGAATTGAAGAGGCTTCATGTACCTTAGGCCACTCCTGCCACCAGTGAATCATCCTCATTTGATCTTTTGATTTAAAGGAGAACCATGATACCACTGAAGTGAAGTTAATAATTAGGTTGTCTTAGCTATTTTCATTGATAATATATTTTAAAGCATTTAGCTGAATGAAAAAACAGTCCAGAAGGAGACTTCACTTAGTATCCTTAATGACTAAAACAGTCCATGCACAGCCATTCAATACACTTGTATGATAATGATATGTAAAGACAAATCCAAGAAGTCTGTGAAGCAAGATCTGATTATTAAATCTTAAACTAAGCACCAGGCAGGCAAGTGCAGCTGTACCATCTTCCATTTCCATGTATCCATTTACAACTATGCCATCTTAAAGTTACCCAATACTTAATTGGTTCGCCACATGTTCATAGGCCAGAGGAGAATGACTTCCTTCCATACGATCATCACATACAAGCACACAGTGTCTGCTGGATGGCAAAGTGATTTGCCTCCCTTTAAAAAAAAACCAGCACATTTCAATTTATTTACATTCATGGTGGACTAGTTGATACAGGAAAAAGCCCCAGTTTATCTGGAGTACACCATTGCATGTTGAGATCCCCTACTGGTGACATATTCACCACAACTCGTCCCAGTGTAACCAGGTATTATAGCGGCTTGGTTGCCCACTACATATCTGCTGCCAACATAATGACTGGAGCTTCCTTCAATAGTGGATGCATTAGGAACAGCACTGACTATTGGCAGACCACTTGGAATTCCCCCCAAGGCATAGGGTGTGGCACCTAAAATGCCTCCTGCCAAATGAAAAATAAAAAAAAAACAGTCATAAGTTTGATTTACCCAAAGATAGTTAACTCAAGTTTAGCAAGAAGCTGGGTCAGGGTGCAGTGTGTGAATCCTTGCTTTCACATATGCAATACAACTATTAGTGGCTACCACCAAACTTTCAAGAACACTGTAAGAATTACCTATGATGGCCAGCCACACCATCCAGCCAAGTTCTAGCTTGGTCAAGTTCCTCTCTGTTATTGTTCTTCTTTTTTTTTTAGTAGTTAGGGGCAGGAGGGGGGGGGGGAGAAGAGGTGTGGGTAGGTACATAAATAGTTATACCATCCTTTCTGCCAAGCTGTCTGGCTAAGTGTTATGTACTAAGTTAAGATACTTCACTCAGGTATGTTTTTTGACAATTTTTTAAGTCAGCTCCTACTCTTAACCTGTTTATGGGTTAGACACAACTGGAGTCCACTGATGTAGCAACATTTCACTTTCATTACCTCCACTATAAGCTCCCACTGCATTGACCACAAGTCCATTACCCATAATTCCTGCACCACAACCAGCGTCCAAGCCATTCTCAGCACCAACATTTGCACCAGTTCCTGCAGAGCTGACCATGTTCCAGTACAGCTCTGTTGGGGAGACAGTGTTGCACCCTGCAGGAATAGGAGTCTGGGTGCCAGTGTAGCGGAAGTAAGGGTTTTTCAGGTCTAGTGTGTTTGTGGACCTGACCTTTGTCCCATCCAGTGAAAGCTCAATTTCTACATCATAGCTCTGTCTATGAAATAAGAGCGAATATCAGCATGGTGGAGGTCCTTAAGGAAAACAACATCATGACTTTGCCTCCACAGGAGGCAGTAGTCATAAAAAGAGACTAAATGATTCAATGTACTAGTAAATAATAATAATAATAATAATAATAATAATAATAATAATAATAATAATAATTAGGAAGTAAAAAAAAAATGCTTTGACATGAGGCAAATTTAAAATGAGTGGTAGATTCCAGGATTTCTGGTGTTAACCATTGAATGAGCGAAATATAATTGCATCATCCTTAACACATGCAACTAGTTTTGAGTTTAAATTCCATCTCTGACAAAGTTAAAGTTATTTAATTCTTCTTAATCAGTCTGAGATACTAGCTTATCAAGACACGAGTTCTCTGACACTCAGTTTACTGAGCATCCAATTACAAAGTTGGAACTGACTGTCACTGTGGAATGAGTTCTTGTGCAAAATCCTGCAACTCTTTACAGGCTTTTGTTTGCAATTACCTCCTGTTGGAGATGAGAAGAACTACCCCAGATAATGCCTGTCCAACTTTTGCAAATATTGGGGTGCGGAGAAGACATCGAACCTGCAAAGTTCAAAAGTCAAGAGAATTACCAACAAGATAAATAAAAATATTCTACCATAAAATCAAACCACAATTAAGCAAAGCCTAGATCTAATAAAAAAAAATCCTTCTATATATGTTAAGACTCAAAAGTGTCTAGTCTCCCCTCTTTCAACCCGATAAGTTCTTGGTTAAATTATCTTAGGGTTAGCATTAGGTTTAGGTTCAGGCTTGAGTTATCAAGTTTTTAAAATTTTTTAAAAGTCACAGTCAGGTGTTTTAGAATTTGCAATACTGAGAGATTATATAAGGGACCCAGTTTCTGGGTTGTAACATTTAACAAGCACTAAATATGTCAATGATCTTTCTAAATTTCTGATTTCTCTTTTAATTTTGTAGTTCTAAAAACACTTAAAACAATAAAAATGGATCTTGGGAATCACATGAAGTGCCTGAAATTCTGTGAAAGCTACAGTTTTGTTTTTAAACATTTCTTTGCATTTTGAGTGTTGGGTGTCTTCAATGACAGTTTGTCCCCAAGGCAAGAACAAGAGTTAGCCTTCATTAATTTGTGATTGTTTCTCTCTCATAATTGGTGCAGTGTACTTGTGGATAGCTGAGGATTTATGGAGGGTAATTAACTTCATATATATATATATATATATATATACCTGGTACCAATGAGTGAGTGGCTCTTGTGGTGCTGTAGAGAGCCATACTGGAACACTGTGATGTAAGTAATCAACAAAAATAATTACTGTGTTATGTGTATACTGCAATCTTCACAAAAGGAATTAAAATCAATAGTGGTCTGCATTGAGCTAAAGACAAAAAAAATTCATTTGTTTGAATCTCACACTGCTATGTACTACAACCCTTTTGAAAATTCCAATTTAAATTTTCAGCCAACTTGCTACATGTACATTGTCAATCTTTGTTCTGTTGTTAAGTTTTATATCAAGCTGTAAGATTTTTATTCTTGAATTGTCTTGATCTAAAGTCAAAATGACCATTTGCATTCATCCTTTGCCTCTTCCTCCCTTGAGTAGGGGTGTTACGTCATGATATGTCAGCTAAGCCCTTTAGAGAAATGATCACCCATCACTGTCAGCTGAAATGTTATTTCTGGTGACCATTTTCTAATTTCCAGTTCCTGACGATCCATAAATTAATCACGTCTGGAGGGGAAGAATGACTAAAAACCCTTCATTGACATGAACAAGTCATGTACACCAGCCCTGTGCATGTCAGGGGATCTAAGTGTAAGTATATCAGAAGACCTCTTTCATATCCTCAAATACAGTATGTCTGTATACATTATGGACACAGCTTTTGGTAGTACTCACTTGCTTCCTTGAAATGAAACATCAAACCAGAAAGCAAGGCCATGAACTGTTCCTGAAGTGTGCAATGTGAAATGTAGGGGAATTTCTATTCTGCAAAATGAAAAATATCATACTTCTCAGAACTAAAATAATTATAAGTATACCTTGCAAGTCTGTGGCAATACCCAAGCACCCCTATGAAGTGCATAAGCCAAATTCAACCAATATAAATCACACAGAGATGTTGATCTTTGAATTGGAAATTTGCCTGTAACAGAGATGTTATACCTATGTTGTGCTGTATGAATTGTTACAGGACATGCAACATCTTAGCTTGATACAAGGGATCAATATCAGTATCTGGGCAACTGCCCACCTACCCCTCCCCTAACCCAACATTAACCCTAACTTGTCATCAATTGACTGTTGTTGGGTTAGGGGAGGGGTAGGTGGGCAGTTGCCCAGATACTGATATTGATCCGATACAAGCAACTTTCAAAGAATTTCCCACAACTGCATGTCAAATCTTATCAACTGAGAATAACACTTACAAAACTAAGATGATCAGTTGCAAGATCCAGGGGTACAAATGCGTAACATTAGGGAAAAACTAG